TTTTTGCAAATAGCTCTGAATGAATAGAACATGAAATAAATATTTTCAAGAAACAATCAGCAGTAATATGCCAGCATACGGTGCTTTTCTTTTTTTAATGACTTTTATTTTCAATATCATTGTCCCAGTCCAAATAACACCCCATAATCATTTTACAAACATTTGATGGTGTTTATAGAAAGACAGCCCATTTCATTTTAACATCTTATTAATAGCAACTTGAGAGAGTACTAAATGTACAGATTCATTCTGATGACAGCTGCATTTACAGTGGCCAAAACACAGAGAGCTTTAGAACAAGAATCAAAATCAATGTCACCTGGAAATGTAACTTTACCAATACCTACAAAAAGAGAAAGAGAGAGAGAGACTCAAAGACACAAAATAAAAGTACACAGCACTATTTAGACACAGAGACTGTTAGTTCACACAGCATCCGTGTGTTTTCATGTGTGTTTTCTCATATATTGTGTTGTGTACTATATTCATAGATCTTATACAAAACAAAAAAAGAGGTACTCATCGATATATTAGACACAAATATAAAAAGTTAAGGTACACAAAGTACAAAGTTTTTATTTCTATGGCAACAACAGGACATGTGTCAGGTTGTTTTCATATGGAATATGGAGCAATGTAATAAATTGTACCTGCAGCAAATCAAAAGCCAAAGACCATCTCAGATACTCCCTGACTAAGCCTCAGTAAAGAGTTTCCGGTTTCTATAAGTTTAAACGTTTTTTTACGGATCTCTGTCACACAAGGAGGAATTTGGCGTAATCTCTCCTGACAGCCATGGGCTTTTGGGGGGGACGTTTAGGAGTACGTTCTGCACCATATGAAACCTGTCATCATGAAATGTGACTCTGGAAATATGCGTTACTTAATAAAATAAAAAAAGTACAAAAAAAGAAAGAAAAAAATGAACAGAACTGAAGCCAACAAAGATTTGTGTCCGTAAACATTAGATAATTGACATTTATAAAAGAACACGTTCATAGATAGATGATGCCTGAGTATAGTACCACATGAAAACAAAAAAATACAACACATGACAACAAAATAAGCCTTTACAATAAGCAGTATGTAATTTACATGTCAATAACGAGGAGGGCTCTGATTTAGATGCATTTGTCATATAAAAAAACATCATATTGCACTGGATTCAGCAGGTTTCATTCAGAGAAAGTTCTGATAGACTCGAAATGAATGAGAAAGCACATTCAGGTGTAACGCACAGATGATAAAAATGGTCAATTGTCAGTTCCCTAAGCTCCGCCCCAATGGTTACTGTTGTTCACTTAGACAAGCCTTATGGTGTGTGTGCACACCAAAAGCGAATTTAATTATTTGCGCGAGTATATTAGCCTACATACAAAGTCAACGCAAAGAGGCAAATAGACTTGAATTCGCAATTGCTGCAAATGTGCGATATTTAGGGTTGGGTATCATTTGAATTCGATCAATTCCGATTCCGATTCTGCTTATCGATTCCGATTCTTATCGGTTCCCAGTTTCGATTCCAATGCGGTTAAAAAAAAATTTATTCAAACATTTAGATATCAAACATATTTATTCTGTGTCTCTTTTTGCAAAACATTTAGTTGAAACTGAATACCATGAACAAAAATCAGCAGGCTAAATAAAAACTGGAATCGATTAAGAGTTGTTTGTGTGCAAAATAGAGCTGCACAATTCTGGATAAATTTCTTTTTTTTTTTTTTCAATTCATAAATTACATGTGATTTTTTAAAACAAATATCACGTAATTTATAAATGAATGATTCAATGACTCACTTAAGATTTACTATTTTCATTATTGGATGAATCAGTGTTTTTGAATGAATCTCTTGAATGAATGATTCAAAGACAAATGCATTTTTAACAGCTCCTTTTCGCCACCTACTGGCGTAACAACGTAATCGATAAATCTTTATTTGAAACATCAAATTACTTTCAAAAGGTGATTTACTCTATTTTAATCGCTACTTTACACATCAGTGTTTATATTCAAACTATAAGCTTTTATCCCCGTACTTCTGTGATTATTTGAATGATTGTAACACAGAAATAACGATACTGTGCAGTTGAAAAGATTCTTTGTGACATACACATGACAGCTGCTCTCTTTAGGTCAGCGGCAGCGCGAACAGAGATTTTAATGTTAAAATCACAGGGACGAACAGAGAGTTGATCACACCGTTGTGATCGCACAGGTCAAAGGATTGTCATTTAGGATTAAGATCACGTTGGTGTTTGAATAGTGTTCGAGATCTTTAACGATCTGTTTAATTAAAGTGCTTTGTCATGTTGGTGGTGACACCACTCTTGCAACATGTTAGCTTATCACAAATATTATACTTAGCTGTTACTTGCTGATCACAAGTGTAGCAAAACACTAGAGCGCTTAGAATAGCGAGGAAGGTCCTGGCAGATCGCAGAATCGGGTCTTCACAGATGGAAAAAAAGCATGGCTAAAAAGTATCCGATTCCTGACCTTAAGTATCCAATTCTGGAGTTGGAATCGATTTTCGATTCCCAACCCTAGCGATATTCGCCTCAAGTTTAAAAATTTCAGCTCGAGCGGGAAATACGCATGACATGTTGTGGCGCAATCCAATCAGTGAAGAGCTTATTGGCACGTCTGGTTTGACACATCCGGCTGTATCAGAAAATGGAGGAGAGCATTATTGTAGCCATCTGCGGGCACCCTGAAATTTATGACTTCGCTTTGGTTTTGGTGTGCACACACCATTACAGAAATTAGCAAATCTACATAAAAAGCATGACTTGTAGTAAAATTACGGGGGATGAAATGAAAATTATTGTTATCCTCAAATTTTTTCTTTAAAGATACTTTCTATAAAATTGCATTTAAAACTATCTAAACATGCTTCCATAAGCTTGTCTTATGATATGGCAAACGGTTGGTAAGGTCCAGTAGGATTGGTCAGTAGTGTTTTAAGGCGGGGCTTAGCACAAAGTCAATTAACCTTTTATTCAGCAGATTTTCGTTCAACTGATTCTGAGCTTTGTGTCAAGACTGAAGAACAAATCAACATTCCACACTCAAGTCAAACTCCAGACATGTTTATCAGACTCACAGCACAAATCTTCTCCTCCTTTGCCAGCAGTCACACAGGCCAGTCGTCTGTTCAGATTTATTTATTTTTTTTAATTGACGTTCAGTTTATTGAGCTGTCGATTGAGATGGTTTGGAGCCATTTTCATTCTCTGGGAGCAAGAGAATGACAAAACACCTGAAGTGTTTTTTCAAAGAGTCCCGTTTAGCACTTATTTGGACGTAAAAAAAAAAAAAAAAACCTTACTCACTCTTGAAACCTGCAAAATGTCTTTAATGCATCTTATCCCATGAAGTTTCCTAGTAATTCCTGGAATTTCCTAATTATTAGGAGCACTACAGCTACAGCAGAAACAACAGTGTTTTTGAGGCTTGGCACAACATCAGTGTATATTTGTCTGTCTGTAATGTCTGCAGCGAATTATGCAATGTAAACAAAAATCTTTTTCAAACTTATCCACTGATATTGTGATAAAAAGGATTTTTTAAAAATCACAAGATAGAATAGAGGTAAATATATAGAAAACACATATACACATGTACATAATACAGAGCTTTAGTGTTCCAGTATATAATTAGTAACTTTCTAAATACTCAACATGATTGGCCAGTGTGGTTCACATGATCTCTTAAATTGGTCATTTATAGACAATTGTGGAGAAAAAAAAAGAAAAGAGTTGACATAACTTAATATGAATTGCTGTCTTCCAAGGATGAAAACAGGAATCACAATTCTCTACTGGTTCTAAACATTTTGAGTAACATCTGAAAACCTGTTTAAATTTACTCCAAGACGTTTGGAAACAACTATTTTCCTCGTTCACAGTGTTTGCCTTTGTACAATATGTAATTGTAACCATTAAACATCTGTTTTGGGATAAAATAATAGTTATCCTCCCTCTTATTTTCTTTACCCATCATGTACAGAATAACTGTCCTAGTCTGTTTACATACTGCTACCCACAGCGGAGCTCTTTGGTCTAGTGATGCTTAAGTAGTGTTGCGATCACACACACACACACATTCTCTCTTACACACACTCACACGCTAATCCAAAGTGTTATTTGTTCCTGCTGACTTTATCAATAAATGAAACTGATTGGCAAGTTTCATGCTGTTTGTATATTACTGCATTTCTGATTATATTAAAACGATTGGCACTAGACTTTTCTGTTTCTGATGATGGAATATTAGCCTTTTAGTTAGTTCTGCTCAAATAAATCAAACTGTGAAAAACTATAAATTATAAACTATTAGCTTAAATTGAATCGTAGCACACAATGAAAGGGATTTAAATATAGAAGTAAACAAATGAAATCAAGTTGGCACAAAATACTAGGCACGGAAATAAACACAATATTTTTTCCTTTATGAGTCTATGCACAAGGCTGATAACTGTCTGGTGATTTATTCAAATTAAGCTTTGTTATTAAAACGTAGAGGAGGTTTATTAGCTATTTTGTAATGTTTTAATAGATAATTGATTGTGTTATTTAGGCTCGACCCACAAACTAACAGTTGTCTGGTAATTCACGGAAATCAAACACCTCTCTGAGGATCTGTGAGTCCGTAAACATGATTAACCCGTACATGTAATTTCTCATCAGTGATTAAAAAAAAAAGGAAACTCAACAAGCATCTGACGTATGGCTTTGGCAAATCAAATAAGCTTTAAATGAATACTGAATCTGGCTTCCACATTGTTTGATAGCTTTTTAAAAAAACTTCAACATTTCATTAAACCTCCGCTCACAGATTAACAGTCCCAAGAGTCCAGTTGAATTGGGTCTGTCTGACTCATAAGTAACCTCGTTTGTATAAAAATAGAGACTATTCCTTTAAAACGGGGCCTAGTAACAATGTAGTGAAATTAAAAACCTGGGTATACTATTCCTCACTGGGTTCATTTTTTTTCCCCCCTCTAAATGAGTAGTGCTCCATATAAATATTTTTTGGACATTTGTAACACGTTTTACTCAGCTATTTCAAATACATATTCATACTTTTTATACAAAAACGGATGACAGATTGATATTGGGAGACGGTCACTGAAATGACTTGATGTGTCTGTAATTTTCCACAAAACTGAACGCGTCCTATCTATATATGTAGTGGCACATAATGGCATTATTGGCACAAAGTTCAGGAGAGTCTTTTCTCCACACAAGCAGACGTATCGTGTCAGAGAGCGTCCCATGGCCTCTCCACTCCAGCACACCCACATGTGCAGTAATACACGTATATAATATATCAGCTCTAGGTATATCATCTCTAAAATGATCACATGTCTATGGAAAATAATTTGGGAGTGGTATCCATAGCACTGCATCAGTCTAGAAAAATAAACATCTTCAGTCCACTTCTAGAGAGATCCAACATTTGTACAAAACTGCCTGATCGTCTCACTTCCCGTCTCTTTAATTGCTTGTCGTTGTTGTTCTTGTGGTTTTGTTTTGCTTTATTGTGTTTTAGTCTTTTGTGTTTGATTCACAGGTTTTCCAATGAGATCCTGAAAGATAAATTGAAAAGATTCAATTTAAGTATTTAAATATTAAATTGACTTTTTAAATAGAATAAGAACTGATAGTGTAACTTTGTAAATAAACTACTCTAAAAGTAAGAAAAAATTATGATTTAACTTACATGTTACTTTATACAACTTTAAATGTCAACAAATGTGACCCTGGACGTCTTAAGTCGCTGGGGTATATTTTTAGCAATAGCCAAAAAAACATTGTATTGGTCAAAATGATTGATTTTTCTTTTATGCCAAAAATCATTAGGATATTAAGTAAAGATCATGTTCCATGTAGATATTTTGTAAATTTCCTACCGTAAATATATCAAAACTTAATTTTTGATTAGTAATATGCATTGCTAAGAACTTCATTTGGACAACTTTAAAGATGATTTTCTCAATATTTAGATTTTTCCCATATTTGAATCTTAAATAATTTCACCAGACTTTATAAGTTAGGACAGAAATAATTGCAGCTGCTTTAAATAATAACGTGTTTCTCCCATGAGAGAACACTTCATCTTCTCCAGCTAAAGTCTTCATCGTTTCAGATATACTCAGTATTTCAAATATCTTTAGACGTGTTTTCCCCGAACACACACACACACACACACACACACACACACTGACAAACGTCTGCCAGATTCCAGGAGGTCAAAGGCCAACATGTGCGGCCTATGAAGTGCACTCACTGACCAGCATCATGTGTAACACAATCTGCTGCACATCAGAAACGGTTTCACACAAGCAGACAGAATGACTGATGACTTCAGAAACTGATGTGTGCTTGCTTTTCTGCATGTGCTACACAAGTGTTTTCCATCTCTGCATTTAGAATATTTTGATAAACTAGCATGCATTTATGTATATGTATTTCCGTGTTGATGCAAACGCCGGTCAGACCATCAGTGCAGGTAAAGTGTGTCTGATATTTCGTCACATGTCGGTTGCCATGGGAGATAAAGTCCCGTCTGTCTCTCCAGCAAATCAGCGTTTTCATTTTCAGAGGAAATGAGCAGCTTTATTATGTGCTGCTTATGCAATCAAACTGTGTGTGTGTGTGTGTGTGTGTGTGAGAGAGTGTGTGTGTGTGTGTGAAAACGTATCCGTGTGGTGTGGCTGACACAGACAAGTAGAACAGTATACGCAGTTTATGTTCAATGGATACTCTCCAAAATGGCGCTACGGTGACACGGAGGAGACGAATAGTTGAATAAAGTCGTTATTTTTGTTTTCTTTGCGTACAAAAAGTATTCTCATCGCTTCATAAAATTCAGATTGAACCACTGATGGCAGATGGACTATTTTGACAATGTCTTTCGTATTTTTCTGGGCCTTGACAGTGTTATTTATTTGGCAGTCAATGGGACAGTCACAAGCCTCCCGGTTTTCATCCAAAATATCTTAAATTGTGTTCCGAAGACGAACGAAGCTTTTACAGGTTTGGAACGACATTGGGGGTAAGTGATTAATGACAAAAATTTCATTTTGGGGTGGAATAACCCTTTAAAGTTGTCCAAATGAAGTTCTTAGCAATGCATATTACTAATCAAAAATTAAGTTTTGATATATTTACGGTAGGAAATTTACAAAATATCTTCATGGAACATGATCTTTACTTAATATCCTAATGATTTTTGGCATAAAAGGGCATTTTATGAGTGGAGTAACCCTTTAAAGGCGATTTTCTCAGTATTTTGATTTTTTGCACCCTCAGATACTGTTCTGTGTCAGCCGCACCACACGGATATGCTGTTTTCGTTCAAATCAAAGTGTAAATAAACGTAGAAAACGTAGTCCAGGGTCACAAATATATTAGTGCATATAGAAATTAACATTAACCTAGATTAAGTAATTGATAACACTTTACAATAGGTTCCATTTGTCATTATTAGTTAACATGAACAAACAATTGAAAAACTTCTGCTTCTAATCTACTTCTGCATTTTGTTCTTAATGAATGTTAAAGTCAGTATTTACTAATATGAGGGTTATTATAGTTAATTAAAACTAAAACCATAAAAAATCTGTTACTTTAAATAAAATAAATGTTAACTGAAATAAAATAAAATATACAAAACTTAAATTTATTTAATTCAGCTAGTTCCCAAAGAAACATTTTTCCTTTTCATTTAGTTAACTTGATGTACTACAATTAAAAAAACTAAACATTCAATAAAAAAAAATAAAAAAAACTATGTATACATTTTAAAAAACATACAATAAAAATGACAAACACACACAGAAATAACTAAATCTTTAACAACAATTAAAATAGAAACAGAATATATAGTTCAGACTATTAATAGAAACAACCATATTATCTCATGATAGTAAAATAACACTGACTAATACAATATTAAAATCAAAAGTTGTATCTGTTAATTTTATTTAATGGACCTGAGCTAACATGAACTGACAGTGAACAGTTGTATTTTTTAACTACCGTTAAAGATTAATAAATACTGTAACAAATGTATTGTTTGAAAAATAAATACTGTAACAAATGCATTGCTCATTATGTGAAATTGTCACCAATTATTTCTATAAAAAATGTTCATTGTTAGTTTATGATACAAGTGTTACCATTATATTAGTATTTTCATGTCACACTATATCTCTGCTGTTGGTGTAAATTCTGTTTCAGCACAATTTTTAAAAGATATGAGCCACATGTCTGCAACTCATTTCAATTCTATGGCTAGTGAAATATTTGTGTTGAACCCTGAGGAACTGTGATTTTCTAGTAAGTACACAAGCACTGGAAAACCATGTCAGAATTACACCATGTGGACTTCAGAGTCATATGAAATACAGTACGTACCAGGGCACAAATTGAAGACGTGGGCTCAACCCAAAGGTAGTAAAGGGGCCTCAACAGGAGATCTCAAACCATTTCTCAGACACAAAGGCCACAGGGATTAGCTGCCTTTCAGTGGGCGACGGTCTGGAATAGACAGACAGATCAGCTCTTCAGTCCTGCAGATATAAGCACTTCTGTCCAACTCCCTGATTCAAGCCTCTTTTTTATGTGCATTATATCACAAACAAAGCACCCACAGTTACATTTCCTCTAAACCCTCTCATCTAGGCTTTTGTATTCTGAAGCATACAGTATTAAATGAAGCTGCACTGAAATTATTCATACAATTTAAAGCTCATACTCAGTCTTTTGTAAAGACCAGGGCAATGGAAGGACAAAAAACAAGACTAAACAACTGTCACAACATACTTATCTGAAAAATAATGACTCTCTGGCAGATTAAACTGGTTATTTCCAAAATGCACATTAAAGGTTAAATTATTCTATTATTGAAGATTGTAGCAGAGAAAAACATGTTAAAAGCAACACTTTAAGAATGGTAAAAAAAAAATATATATTTTTATAAAATATATAAAATATATATATATATATATAAAATATATATATAAAAAATATATATATTTTTTTTAAATGAAGACATACTCTTGCATTCAAAAACAGTTTAAATGGAACAGAATGCAGGGGTTTTAAGACCTCTGACATTTAAAGTTGAACTATTAACTTGACAAGCTGTCATAAATATGTCAAAAGTAACTCATAACTTCATGAAAAAACAGCATGAGGCATGATGCAACTGCCAGAGAGTCTGTCTGCTTGTGAATGGCTGTAGTGGTGGTGCATTATAGTGGATGAATTTAAAGATGCAACTTCTCTAAGAATGTTTTAACATGGAAACTGTCTCTCAGCTTAAGAACAGTTCAGAAAAAGGTACACAACTCTGCACTTACACTGTAGGCACAAATATGTAATTTTAATCACTTGAGCGATACAGTCCCGCATGTGGGATCGTTATTTCTGTGCCCCTGGGAGTACGGTCACACATATGGGATTTAGAATGTACAGTAACGTCACATAACTGCCAGATTCAAATGTGCTTTCGCGCTTTGGCTGGAGCTGAGCCAGTGATGGATGCAATCTGCGCTTGTCATATATTACAATTATGCAGTGTTTTCAACCACATAATGTTTATTTTAAGTTTCAGACATTAAATAGACATAACTACTAGAAAAACAATACATATATTGTTTGTAAAATACACACTGATGTCTATGGAAGGAGTAATAACAATCCATTCAATTATAATTTGACGAAGTGCTTTATTCATATTGGATACGCATTATGTAGGCAGGGCAGCACTTGAGGGGGGACCGCGGTGAATAAAGGTCTCTCTATTCTTCCAGTTCACCAATCACTTACTTTCATGTATTTCGCGAGAAATGGATGAATTTATGTGTTGTAAATCCGACAGATAAAGTATGTTTCTCTGAATTGCTGTGCAACTAACGCCAATCACGTGTTATAGATCAACTAACAAGATCATAATAAAGGTTTGTAAATGACAAAACACATTCACTTTCACGTATTTGAGAATAGGAATATCAGTTTATGACACAGTTAACAAGTTTGTAAATATTTTGAATTAAACATGAAAAACGAAATAAAAGCGATACATCTGTCATACAGCGCTATTGTGGCTGCAGTGTTTCACGTGCCAAGCATGACGTGTCGCCACGGAAATTATAATGCGACAAAATAACAAACTCACTGATAGTGAGGGTCAGTTCGAATATTTTAATCTCATGCGTGAAAAGGTTAAGATACTAATATGTACCTCTAAGGTACTTATATATAACGTTTAGGGGTAAAAATGGTACAAAAGATGTAATGTTTAGATTTTTTTACCTCAGGGTGCCAGCCCAGTAACATCTTTGTACCATTTTTTCTGAGATTGCACTGTAAAAAAATTTTTTTTTTTTTTTTTAAATATATTCATCTCAGGTGACTCAATTGATTTATATATATATAAAACATAAATAAATTAGGTAACCTGAGATGACTAGTCAAATTGTTGACTATTGTGAACTTTAGGGTACATTTACACGACAATGATTTACAACAAAACAGAAAAGTTTTCCTTTGCATTTTTGAAAAGTTTTGCTGGATCAAACTTGATCAAAATGATCCCTGTTCACATGGATCCGTGAAAATGACTAAAACACTGTATTATGCATACCAGGCCAGCAGTTAGAGATGTCACTTTGTAAAGAAACATTTCACATTTTTTATTTTTTCATGTTTTTTTTTTTCGTCATCATTTTGTGTTTTTATAGTTTACACAGAGACAATACTGGTATCATTTTCAAAAACGTGCACTTTGAAACCCGTTTTCAAAAGTTTGCGTTTTCAGGCGCTGTTCAAAGTGCCATTGTCATGTAAATGAACAGCCAAGACAGATAAAAAAAAAGTTTTTTTCCATTTTTAGTTGAAAACGGTGTCGTGTAAATGGCCCCTTAGTTGAAAAAAAAAACGGAAAAATGGCAAACAGCCAGGGTCAAATGTGATGTGCACTTTAAACAGCATCTTATACATTTGTGCATAATGTTTCTTCTGCTCTGCTTTGGTCCAGTGTTCAAGATTTTTAGCATGAACATTATTTCTGACAGCACTAAACCTACTCTAAGCTATGAGGAAGCCAAACCCTGTCAGAATGTATGGACAGGGCTGTCAGTGCAGTCTCTTCGCTGTCCAAACTACTTGGTCAGCAACAGCAACATCCAGCCCAGTTTTTTCTACAGAATATATATTAATCTTGGACCCTTGCCTGTTTCCATTGTAGGAGGTCTTGTAGATGGGTGTGTGCTGGATCATCTCATCCGTGTACACCGGTATGCCGGCCCGCACGCACTCGTGTGAGCACTGTAAACTGTCATTGTAGGCGGTGAAGATGTCCACCTTACTGGGCACGCGGGCGGGCGTGAAGTCGGTCAGGTTTTGACAGCTCTCCTCTTGTTGGTTGATCTTTCTCTGATGGCTGCTGTGTCGGCCATTCCCGGACTGCGCACAACTACAAAAACACGCACCAAATTCACAAAGCCAACATAAAATCATACCTTGAACCGCTGTGTCTGTCCTACATTTAACATGGACTGGGGAGGCAGACACAGACAAATTTAGCTCTGTTCGAAACCTAGTGAGCCTCCTCGCTGTGTCTTTTCTAAATAGGCATTCTGATCGAAATGGTACCTCATAAATGACTGATCTGAAATGCTCTACATAGGCAACAAAGTGCAGCAAAATGACTCAACAAAAGCTGATTTCAGTGTAACAACTTGTGAAGATCAACTCGATAATCTAGCATAAATAGAACACACAAATTTGGGGTCAAATAGTATGTTTCTAATGATTACTTTTGGTGATGTTATTTTAATTTTTATTCTTGAATAATGAACACTTCTCTTGTATCTGTAAAACAGTAAGTTTCTATTTTTTTTTTTTTTCATTTTAAAAATTATTAATACCAATTTTTTTCTGCTGTATCTTGAATAATGAACATTTCAGTTTTTAATAATTGTTTTTTTTAAAATATTTTTTTAAATATTTTTTATTTAACTAACATTTTATTAGTATTATTTTTATTAACATTTTTTAGAAATATTTTTCAGTATTTAATAAATCTTGAATAATTAACTTTTCTCTTAAATAATTAATTATTATTGTTATTATTATTATTATTATTATTATTATTATTACTACTACTACTACTACCAATTGATTGGGAGTATCTTGGATAATGAACACTTGAGTTTTTAATTATTTAATTATTTTTAATTATTAACATTGTATTAATATTATTTTTGTTACCAAACTTTTTTATGAATAATCTTCAGTTTTGAATCAATCTTGAATAATGAACATTTCTCTTGCATCTGTTAGAAAAAAAAAGTATTTTTCTAATTATTTTAAAAATATATTATTATTATTATTACTACCATTTTTCTGAAGTGATTTTCAGTATTTGTTGAATCTTGGTTAATGAACGTTTTAGTTTCTAAATATTATTTTTAAAATTATTTTTAATTATTTGCATTTATATTAGCATTATTTTTATAATTAACCATTTTTAGAAATAATTTTATAATTGAATGAACACTTACTTTGTGACCAAAAAATATATATATAGCTCCCACATTCATGTTGCAATGCACTCTGGTATGGCTCTCTCTGCAGAAGATTCATAGAATTCCAAAAGAAGGTATCTTAGGTGTCTTAAAACACTGCCTACAGAGGAAGCTCAACAGGTTTGGGAAAAAAGCTATTGTGTACGAGTGTCCAGATTGCTGGGTGCAATAAGGGGTCACTGTCCACATTGACAGACAGAGTGATAGAGAAGTACAGATAATAAACAGACAGAGGGACAGGAATAGGGAGAGACAAACAGGAGGAACACAGACAGAAGTCACTGACAAGGTGCTGAAAGAAAAGAATGTTTCCTACCAGTTTTTAAGGACTAGAGTCGTGATCAAGGCTGCAACGATCATGATGAGGGACACAGTGATGGTGATGATCTGGTGAACAGCCAGACCTAAGAAGAGAAAAAACAAAGACAGCACAGTTATCAATGTCTCCATGGCAACTAATGTGAGCGCCAGTGCCTTTTGTAAGGTATTTAATTGCAATTGCAATAACACTGATACTGCATCTTAACATGTACTGCTCTATCTATGCCAGCGTAGCTTCTTCTAAGCCCCGTCTGCCACGTTACAGTAATTTAATCATTCATTTGACCATTTCACAAAGTCTGGAGCATGAAACAGCTTGACTGGGAGAAGATGGCAAGCATACCAGCTGGCAAAAGGTCAGCAAACAACAATTAATGCAGAACAAGAACTCTCTGTTCCAGAATAAAGAGTGTCACAAGAACTATGAGCTACGCTGTCTTTCTCACTCCGTCACTCCCGAATGGATAGAAATTAAACCCAACGGGGAGCCACAGTTACAAACTCTTAGATATAAAGAGTACCACGACTTCCATTTCTTGCTGGAGCTGATAAGAGTGAAGGAAGCAATTTTATGGATTTCCCCATCAATATTAAAGTGTTTGTGTGCGGGTCTGTGAGGAACAGCAGCATCCATATTAAAGTATCTGGGTTTCTGGAACATGAGAATGCTGCACAGCTTGGCATGTGAGTGGTTAGTTTGCCGGAATTTAGGGAGTTCCCGGGGCGATTCTAAGATTTTCATTTTAGGGGAGCTCAGACACCAGTGAGGGTATAATAATAAGAATAGCCTAAGCGCCGCCATACTCTGCAGATTGATAAAGAACGAGCTGAAAGATGGGGAGGAGCCGATCGAAGTCTGTCGCCGTTTTCAAATGAAATGTATATATAGCCCCCCTAAAAATGGCCTAGCGACAGCCATGGGAGTTCCACTGTTCCAGCGTTAATTTATTCACATAACCATTTCAGAGTTATAACACTAGTTAACCTTACCTCACCTCGCACAGTAGCTTCACATGGGGCTAAGTGTCAACCTCAACATGCGACAGAGCAACATGGACTGATTTCCCGTGTAAGTTATAATGTTATCTTCACTGGGGGAAAAAAATCCATAAAAATAGGGGACAATGTACTGTATTAATTTATGAAGGAATTTAGGTGTTTTACCTTGAATTTTGCACTTCATTGGGTTGTATTTTAGGGTTAATGGAAATGTCCATAAAATTACTAGATTTTGTCCTGTTCTTTTTTTTTTTTTTTTTTTTTTAAAAGTATCAGTTTCCCCAAATATAGTAAATA